TCACATCGTTCCAACAGAAAGATGCCAGTATGAGAGCGGCCAGAGCCCAGTGCTTGATTGCTTATATGGACTCCCAGGTAATGCTGTTTCAGGACCTATCGTCCCTCACGCTCGATGCCAGACGGGCGCTGAAACCTCTAACAACCATGCTACAAGAAAGATGGATTCCCTATAAGTGGGGCTTTCCGTTCAGCCTGCAAGCCAAGATTGATAACCGTTGGCACACACTACGCTGGCCAAATGATGTCCCCCGATTCCTTCAGTCCGCAGGACTGCCACATGTCCACGTACAGAACTGGATCCTTGAAAATCCACCTGCTCGCCCAACCGGGCTCTACCCTGTGGCGGAGAACCTGATGGGGGGACGCGTTGCACCACCACCGCGACGCCGAGGCGGCCCCGATGGCCCAGAAGAATAGCAACCTGAGGCACTGAAGCCGGCCTCCCATACCAGGTACCAAGGGCCACCTCCTAGGCCGACCCGTCCCCTTAGGGGGACACCAAGTAACTGTCACAAGCAAACAATAGCGCTTACCTGTCCACCCCTGGCCCCCAACGACCATAGCCCTGGGTGTGGTGTGAATTGAGGAGTTAGGCCGCTGATTAACGGGACAGGGACTCATACCACACCATAACGGCAACTTGGGACTGGGGATGGCACCGTGGGTGGGATGCCTGGGGGAAACCAGCCACATGGAGAGCCCACGAGAAGGGGGCGACCGAACACGCGGGGTGGGTCATGGAGAGATGGACTGTTTGGGAGGGAGGTCTGGGCCGCAAATTTTTGAAAAATGCAGGCACATGGCTATACCGTCTTCTAGTTAGATAGCTCACGCATAAGTCACAATAACTGAGGCTGACTGCATGTATACTGTGTTCAACATATTTTGCTTTTATATATGTTCAAGATACTCATGTTAGGCCACGGTTTTACCCCTGGCATAGGTTGCAATGTTAATTTATGTTGTATAACTCTTTACTCAAACTGCCGATGTATCTCACCAACACATAACGAAATTTCCCTTACGGACCCACGCCTACACCCCCTCCCCCCCACAGACTGACCCGCCCCGACACGCAAATAGGCGCCCATGCGTACCCGTCTGACTCAAGCCCACTTCCCAGCCCCCCCGATTACCCCAGGACCCGCGGATGTCACGACAGCCACTCAACATGGCGGGTTGGGAGCCGCGGGACACAGGTGCTAACAACCCACATATTTAAAGGAACAGACTCTGTAGGTGGCCCTCCACGCACCTCACGCAACTGACCTCCCCTGTACATAGGACCGGGGTTCGACGAGACTCTTTGATACCACAGTCTCCTGAACGCCACTAACCGGTTAAGGTTCAAACGTTGCATTGACCCCCCCCTTCCCATCCCCCCGCAGCTGCCCCCCCTCCGAACGACCATACCACGGAGGCCAAAATGGGGTTTAGCCCAGCCTTACTCACATACTGGTCCAACAACACTGGGGGCCTTAACCAGCCGGAGAAGCGCTCCCACCTGCTCCGCCGTCTCTGGGCGGAGAGGGTGTCCGTAGCGTTCCTGCAGGAGACGCACTTTCGGGGCCCGGACGCACCTAAACTAGAAAATAAACGTTTCAATTTGGCTTACTACGCCAATCACCCAGACGCTAAGAGAGCAGGTGTAGCGATACTCTTTGCACACACTGTACCCTTCAGACATACTGCGACCCACATGGATCCTGGAGGGAGATATCTCTTTGTCAAAGGCACGATTGCTGACCACACGTACACATTCGCTAGCATATACAGCCCCAACCGCGGCCAACACACCTTTCTCTCTCGCACCCTAACCAAGCTTAACAAATTTAGAGAGGGCCTCTTGATAGTAGCAGGGGACTTGAAAATGCCACTAGACCCACTCCTGGATACGTCCCGCGGAACTAGTACACTACCACCACACTGCTTATGGTCCGCCTCCAAGGCGCTGAACGGACTGGGCCTTGTAGACTGTTGGAGAACCGCACACCCAGACGACAGGGACTATACGCACTCCTCCCACGTCCACCACCGCTACAGCCGCATTGATTACATATTTATGCCCCAAGAATACCTTTCCCTACTTCACGACGCACACATTGGACTCATGACCCACTCCGACCACGCTCCGGTTAAAGTACGCACAAGCTCACCCCTCTATAAACCCAGGGACAGACAGTGGAAGCTCAACGTAACCCTGCTGAGCGACCCGGTCTCCCGCGCATCCGCGCTTCAGACGATCACACAATATTTTGACACTAATGACGACCCAGACACACCCCCCCCTGACAATCTGGGAAGCACATAAATGTGTCCTGAGAGGCCATTACATCGCCGTCTGCACACAGCGCAAAAAAGACAGACACAGGCGCATCACTGCCCTCACATCCAAGGTATCCGCCTTGGAAAACACACATAAACAAACGCTAGACGATAACACCTACCTTCAACTGACCGAAGCTCGGAGAGAACTTAGGGACCATCTCTCTCAGGGGCTTTTGCACACCCTGGCCAAATCGGCCAGGTACTTCTATGAACACTCCAACAAAAGCGGTCGACTCCTAGCAAAAATGCTCCAGGCACGAAGGAGGGCGCAACATATCCATAAGATAAACACTCGGGACCACTGTAGCACTAGACACCCGGAAGGCATACTTGAAGCATTTCAGGCCTATTACAAAGACCTATGCAACCAGACACTGACCACTCATGGGACAGCCCAACAGACACACCAACGGAAGATCTCAGACTACCTATCCCAACACATAACCAAAACGCTCTCCCAGGAACAATCGGAGGACCTGGAGCAACCCCTAACTCTCGAGGAACTCAAGGGAGCCCTGAAAAGCATGAAACCCCACAGGGCACCCAGCCCGGACGGGCTGCCGCTCTCAAACCTCCGCACTTTTAGCGACGCCTTACTGCCCAGGCTCCTGACAGGACTGAACTCGATCCGCGAAGGCGGACGGTTCCCGACAGACACCTTAGCCGCCACAATCACAATAATTCCCAAAGACGGTAAGGACCCGACTAATTGCTCGAGCTACCGCCCGATTTCGCTCCTGAATTCGGACCTTAAGCTCTTTGCCAAGGCCCTGGCCCGTAGGATCTCTCCGATCCTTCCGGACCTCATCCACCCTGACCAAGTCGGGTTCATTCCGGGTAGAGAAGCCAGAGACGACACGATACGTGCACTCAACATCATTCACACGGCGAAAACCAGGAAACGCGAGACCGTACTATTATCGACGGACGCCGAAAAGGCGTTCGATCGGGTAGATTGGACGTATCTCACATCCACTCTTCGCCACCTCAGATTCGGTCCCCAACTATGCACCTGGGTGTCAGCACTGTATACGACGCCGATGGCGCGGATCCGCATTAACGGAACCCTCACGCAATCCTTTCCCATCAGCAATGGCACGCGCCAAGGCTGTCCCCTGTACCCCCTCCTGTTTGCCCTCTCTCTAGAACCATTTCTGGAGGCGGTCAGACGGGACGGGGGCATCACGGGGGTGACGCTGGACGCGGAGGTGCACAAAGTGGCAGCGTACGCGGACGACATGCTGTTCTTCCTAGAACAACCCCTCATCTCTATCCCTAACCTCCTCAAGGCATTCCGCGACTACCGCCAAGTTTCTAACTTGAAACTGAATCTTGACAAATCTGAAGCCCTGCCTCTACTAGAAAACGCTGGGTTGGCCGATCGCCTGAGCGCTAAGTTTGCCTTCTCTTGGCGACCGGTCAAGTTGAGGTACCTGGGCACTTGGTTACCACGCGATCTCTCGCAGCTCTACCAATTGAATTTCCCCCCCTCCTCGCGAGCATCCAAAAAGACCTCCTCCGCTGGTCCCCGCAAGACTTCACTTGGTTCGGCCGCATACAAGCACTAAAGATGAACGTCCTCCCCAGACTTTTGTATCTATTCGCAACGCTACCAGCTGCAATCCCACAATCATTCTTCCGCACCCTGACACGGGAAATCCGAAGCTTTGTTTGGAACCGTTCCGTGTCCCGTATACGCAGGTCCACGCTGGAACGACCAAAGGCTGCGGGGGAACCGGGCTCCCCTCCATGCAGCTATATTATCAGGCCACACACCTGCAGAGGTTGGTGGATTGGCACGCACGCCCAAGTACCAAAAGATGGGTGCCCATGGAGACCCAGCAGACGCAGGGGGCAGTCCCGGCCAGACTCTGGCTCGGCTCGCTCACCTACTCGGAGCTCCGAACCCAAAACCCACTCATCGACGCCACCCTTGGAGTCTGGTGCAAGCTGCGCTTCACTCACCGACTCACCACATCACCTAACCCGCTCACCCCGATCGCTTACAACCCAAACTTAGCGGGGGCCTCCCCCCCGTGGCCTTTCGGAACTTCCACCAGACTGACTGGATCTACTTACACCAATGGACTGTTGACAGGACCCTCAAACCGCTGCCCGACGCCATAACTACCCAGCAACCGACCCCACTTGACATGTTCCGCTACCACCACGTGAAAACTTACTACACGAACCTACAAGGCAAAGACCACATTCACAGACAACTGACGGACTTCGAACGACTATGC